TAGTTACCTCCTCCCAGTGTCCATCCCTTCATACTCTTCTGCACCCTGAGCTATCTCCCTGTGCATAAGCAGCCCTTCCTTCTCCCATGATTGTTCTCTCCAGGGCGTGTGTCTACTTGAGGTAAATATTTAACTCACATGCCTGTACTTTGTTTGGCTGGAAACCACAGTTGTGGGTTCAATTCCAGACCTGAAGGGCAGCTAGGGGCCATAGTCTCAGTGGTTACACCAGGCTCCATTGGACCAGCAAACCTGGTCCCTACCTTCTTTTTTTTTTTTTTGCCTCCAAATGATTTTGAGTTTTGTACCACATTGTTCTCCCTAAACTTTGAGTTTCTTAAGGGTCCATGTTATATTTATCTTGGCCTCTCCAGTGCCTGGCACCCTGTAGGGATAAATGTAATTGTACTGAACACACTGACAGACCTAGATAAATATAAGACCAAACAGAATTAAGTAATATGATAAAAGAGTTATTTAAAAAATTCTGCTACAACACAGAGCAGGCAAAGAATATTTGCAAAGATTATAAAGTACTTCATGGACACAGTTGTAATAAACTTAGGCCTTGAAGGATGAGTTATTAGTCAGGAAGTAATGCCAAAAGCATTGGTCTAAAAGGGATCTGTTGTGTGCTGGGGAGGCTGGGTAAGTCTATTCTTTTGCAGGCTATGGGGACTCATAGAAGACTCTGGATTAAGCAAGTGGCACAATTAGAAATGTGATTTGTGAAGAATGATTGAGCTGTAACACATGGATGGGCTAAAAGAGAAAGATACTAGGCCCAAAGAGAGCAATTAAACAAATCAGTCATTAGCTAAGAGGTAAAAGGGACCTGAAGTAGAAAAATAAAAATGGAATGAATATGAGAAAATTAGGAGCTCTGGTAGCATAGTGCCTAAAACGTTTGACTGCTATACCAGAAGACTGGCAGTTCACATCCACCAGCTACTCCTCAGAAGGAAGACTGGGCAATCAACTTCTGTAGAGATACTGCCTCAGAAACCCAAGGAGGGGTTGCTGTGACTCAGGACTGATTCAACAGCAGTGAGTTTGGTTTGTTATGAGAAAATTATATATAATGTCCCACTAATTTGTATTTAAGGAGACTGAGTGGTGCAAATGATTTATGATTGGTTGGCAAACATTGGCAGATCAAATCCACCCAGAAGGTGAATGGAAGAAAAGATGTGGCAATCTGGGTTACTCTTAAATTAACTGGATAATCCAAGCCAACCAAAATGATTTCCTACCTCCCAACTCTCCACTCCACTACCAATGCTGGTTATCTATGGTTTTATTGTAGTCTGAAAGCATGATTACTCGGAATTATTTCATTTTAAAATAGAAAATTTCACTTATTACATACATAGTATGTAACAACAGTCCATTGCCATTGTAAGAATACTACTACTAACACTAAGGAGTTGAACTGGGAGTGGGACAGACAGGCATAGCTGCAGAAGGACTTGGATGAAAGCACTAGATACCCATGATGCTCATGGAGCAGGTTAATTCCCAGATCCCAGTGACTAAATCATATTTATTAACATGTCTAAAATGGTTTATTGTTCAAAGTCAAAATATATCTAATTTAGGCCCTATAATGACCCTATGCCTATTTCATATAAGAGGAAATTGAAGGAGAAAGATGTTGAAAGTAATTTGCCAAAGATCATAACTTATGTTAGCTAGAATTCCTTCTTAGGATCTTCTGACACAAATTCCATATACTTGCTATTATATTACCCCCAAAGATGAGGTCTAATGTGTAAAATTTTATAGACAAAAATTAAACTGGAAGCTGTCAAAAATGAAATGGAACACAGAAAGATTGATAGCCCAGGTATTTGTGAGCTGAAACAGACTGGTATTGGTCATTCTGGATAGGACAATTACATGGTCTACTATGCCAGAAATGACAAACTGAAGATGAATGGTATCACATTCATCATCAAAAGAACATTTCAAGAATCTATCTTGAAGTTCAATGCCATCACTGATAGGATAATATCCATAGGTCTCCTACTAGGAAGACCAAGCTCTGGTGGCACAGTGCCTAAGACATTTGACTGCTAACCAGAAGGCTGGCAGTTCAAACCTACCAGCCACTCTCCAGAAGGAAGACTGGGCAATCTACTTCCATAAAGATTTACCACCTCGGAAATCCAATGTGGATCACTATGAGTCAGAATCAATTAGATGATGGTGGTTTGGTTCCCCCCATCCCAAAAAATGAAGACCAACTAATTCGACTTTTTGAAGAAATTGAAGATTTCTTTAACCAACTTCTGCAGCCTAGAATTGACCAAACATGCAAAATGTATTGATAATTACTGGTGCTTGGAATGCAAAAGTTGGAAACAAAGAACCATCAATAGTTGGAAAATATGGCCGTGGTAAGAGAAATGATGTCCAAGATGTCATGATAGAATTTTGCAAGACCAACAACTTATTCACTGCAAATACTTTGTTCAGCAATACAAATGGCAACTATACATGTGGACCTTGCCAGATGGAATATATAGGTATCAAATTGACTACACCTGTGGAAAGAGACAATGGAGAAGACAATGAGTCAGAACAAGGCCATAAGCTGACTATGGAATAGACCATCAACTGCTCAGATGCAAGCCAAAGTTGAAGCTAAAGAAAATCAAAACAAGTGCACAAGAGCCAAAATATGACTTTGATCTTATCAAACCTGAATTTAGAGACCATCTGAAGTACAGATTTGATGCACTGAATATCAATGACTACAGACCGGATGAGTTATGGGATGACATCAAGGATATACATGAAGATTGCAAAAGGTCATTAAAAAGACAGAAAAGGAACAAAAGATCAAACTGGATGTCAGAAGAGGCTCTAAAACTTGCTCTGGAACAGAGAATAACTAATGCTTAAGGAAGAAATGATGAAGTAAAAGAGCTGAACAGGTTTCAAAAGAAGGCTTGAGAAGGCAAAGTGAAGTATTATAATTAAATGTGTAAAGACCTAGAGCTAGCAAATCAAAGAGAGAACATGCTTCGTAATTCTCAAGCTGAAAGAACTGAAGAAAAATTTCAAGCCTCAAGTTGCAATACTGAAGGATTCAATGGGCAAAATACTGAGCAACACAGGAAGAATGAAGAGCAGATAGAAGGAATATAGACAGTCACTGTACCAAAAAGAATTGGTTGACATTCAGTCACTTTTAAAAGGTAGCACAAGATCAACCACTTTTAAGAGGCAGCACAAAAGTCAAAAGCTGCACTGAAGGCACTGGTGCAAAACAAGGTTCCAAAAATTGATGGCATACCAATTGAGATGTTTCAATAAACAGATGCAATGCTGGAAGCATTCAGTCATCTGTGCCAAGAAATTTGGCAAACAGTTACCTGGTCAACTGACTGGAAGAGATCCATATTTGTGCACATTCCAAAGAAAGGTGATCCAACAGAGTGTGGAAATTATTGAACAATATCATTAATATAACAAATATGCAAAATTTTACTGAAGATAATTCAAATAAGGTTGCAGAAGTACATCACAGAGAACTGCCAGAACTTCAAGCCATATTCAGAAGAGAATACGGAATGAGGGATGTCATTGTTCATGTCAGATGGAACTTGGCTGAAAGCAAACAATATCAAAAATGTTTACCTGTGCTTTATGGACTAGGAAAATGAATTGAACTGTGTGGGTCTGGACAACTTATGGATAAAATTGTAAAGAATGTGAATTCCAGAATGCTTAATTGTGCTCAACTGGAACCTATACATAGATTAAGAGGCTGCTGTTCTAACAAGACAAAGGGATAGTGTGTTGTTTAAAATCAGGAAAGATGTGCATCAGGGTTGTATCCTTTCATCATACCTATTCATTCTGTATGCTGAGGAAAGAATCTGAGAAACTAGACTACATGAAGGGACTGTGGCATCAGGATTGGAGGAAGACTCATTAACAACCTACAATATGCAGATGACACAACATTGCTAGTTGAATGTAAAGACCTGAAGCAGTTACTCATGATCAAAGACTACATCCTTTAGTACAGATTACACTTCAACATAAAGAAAACAAAACTTACAACTGGAAATTAATAAGCAATATCATGATAAATGGAGAAAAGACCGAAGTTGTCAAGGATTTAATTTTATTTGGATCCACAACCAATATCTATGGAAGCTGCAGTCAAGAAATCAAATGACATACTACATTGGGCAAACCTGTTGCAAACAAAACAAAACAAAACAAAAAAAAACCCTCTTTAAAATATTAAAAAGCAAAGATGTCACCTTGAGGGCTATGGTGCACCTGGCCTAATCTATGGTATTTCTAATCACTTCATAAGCATGTGAAAGCTGGGCAATGAGCAAGGAAGATGGAAGGAGAATTGATGCATTTGAATTATGGTGTTCGCAAAGAATACTGAATATACTATGGATTGCCAGAAAAATGAACAAATCTGTCCTGGAAGAAGTACAGCCAGAATGTTCCTTAGAAGTAAGGACAGTGAGATTTTTCTCACGTACTTTGGACTTGGTATCAGGAAGGATCAGTCCTAAAAGAAGGACATCATGCTTGCTAAAGTAGAGGATCAGCAAAAATGAGGAAGGCCCTCTATGAGAAGGATTGGCACAGTGGATCCAATAATGGGCTCAAAGATGGCAATGACTGTGAGGATGGTGCAGGACCAGGCAGCGTTTTGTTCTGCTGTTCACAGGGTTAGTATGAATCAGAACCAACTCAAGGGCACCTAACAACAAAGACTTATTATTTTAAGATGAGCAATATTTTCATAATTTATTTTGAGAAAGGAACCACAAAAATGTGTATTTTAAGAATAGAAAATATTACTTATTATCAAAATTAGGCCAATTTTGACCGCTTTTAACACAAGAAAAATATTTCATTCAATTAAAGTTCCTCTATAGATTTTGTATTTTGCTACAATTACAAAGAAGTAACATCAGTTTGAATTATTGAAAAGTTAACTTGTAAATCGTTCCACATACGTTCTTTTGACATCTTGTTCAATCATTGATCGGAGTTCTTTATCTTGGAAGAATTTGTTCCAAAGACTCTGAAATAAGGAGAACAATTGGTTTAAAATAACCCTACAACTTTGTTCATCTTTTTAAATTTCAATTTAATAATTTATTAAAGTTATCTTTCTTTGAGTTATTATTTCACATTGGTGATAGGAAAACCAATATAGGGATACTTTATTAAAATCTAGTTTCACCTCACAAATATATCTTTATTCTAACATTAATCTCTCTAGTTTGATACTATTTTTTAGGTTTTATAAATTTCTGGACATAATCTATATAAACTGAATAATGATTTTCAGGGCTATACATCCACTGCGACCTTCACCACAACAAAAAGATCTATTTGGATGACAGCAGGAACCATACAGCAAGTGGTCCTAGGCTGAACCTGTCCTGAATTCCCAACACATTAAGAGATACAAAGTTTCTGCAAAGGTGGCTTTATAATTCAGTGTATTTTTATGTACTTTTAAAATGTGAATTTAGTAAACTTTTAAACATTGCTTAACAATATTTTGTGCTCCTGTACCACGAATTACATCATCCTAATCACATATATCAGAAAGAAATGCTAATATCATGTATTAAATGGTGGGAAAAAAAATCTTTCCTCAGGCAAACAGTTAGAGCAACAACAATTTGAGAAGTTATATAATATCTTCTAAGTAGTAATTATCCCTAGTCTTCACTAGAATACAAGTGGAAGTAGACTTGATTTCTAAAAAAACTTTTTCACAGACTCACTTCAGACAGTTACTTCTTACTTCCTGATAAGCAAACCCTTCTCTATTTCTATCATGAAGGGCGTCTCTCCCTTGTCCCACACTGGACCTTTTTTAACTTTAATAAGAGTTCTGTCTTCATCCTTATGTCCTTATATTTTATCATTAGATCTCACAGACCCCTGGTACTTCCTCTCTGTAGCATCATTCCCCAGAAACAGATCATAAACTTCCCATAATGCATTATGTATATAGCATAGAATAATTTCCATCAGTTATTTTGGGGGAAGTGGGTAAAGAAAACAGAACTTTCATGGTGATTCACATAACCAGTCTCATGAATAAATTCTTTTGAGATTAAAATTGAATAAAGCCAAACTTTACCCCTTCATCCTGTGAAAGGGGATTATTGATCATCAAGTCTTGCTGGCCAACGACCTTCCTTGGGTTTGTGATATGCTGGTAGAGAGAAAAAGCACATACACACAAAAGTGAGAGACTACAGAACTTTAAGGCATACAGAAGAAAACAATTACCTTAGCTAAAATACAACTTACGATTTCTTTAACGCTGCTATACCATGCTCTCAATTCTTTAATTCTACTTATCCACTGACTTTTATCTTGAGGAAGAACACAAAGAAAAAGCTGTCAAGAAAAAAAAAAAGTGAAACTTTCATAAAAATCATTAGGAAGTAACATGTGAAATTATACCAAAAAGAATCACTGAAAAGTAAAAGATATTCATATTCATGGTATTTTATATTCATATCATGATCATTGTAATTCCCAATAATTTATAGTTGGGGATATTTAAGAAATATATAATGGTACAACTCAAAAAGTGAGTAACCAAAGACCAGAAAAGAAGGTCACCAAAGCTGCACCACAAAGTGGAGTCAAATCTCCCTCAGAATTACATTAAAAACTAATGATAAAATGCACCGAAGTTCAAGTAAAATTCCAATTTTGGACTCTAATCTTAATGGGGGTGCTAGGGGAGCATTAATAAGCACAAAGTCCAAACAGTAATTTCTAGCCTTAAATTGCTGACTCACAATAAGCAGGTAAAGGATAGAGAGTACAGTCTACGAAGTGAACTTGCTTCATGTACAGTACAAAATATAATTTACAACTGGCAATCAGCTCATGAAAATAACAAGCATTCTTAAAAAGATAAATCTGATTTAATTTTGTTTCACACAACATTAAAATAAATCTGGATTTGGATTTATTTTTAGGAAAGGAAGGATATTGAAAGTTAAACAACAGGCAAAGGGGGCAGGGCACAAACATTTGTTCACAAATATTCTAGCAGCAGGTCTCCTGCCTTTACTGCCTTTAGCTAACAGAAGAAATATGTATTTTAATTATTAAATCTAAATTATTAAATGTAAAAGTATCTAAAGCATCATGTGTTTCTTACTGTCTTTACTTGCACACACTCAATAATGCTCAATTTATGTCAATAACCCTAAAAACTTTCAATAGAAGTCATTTGAGAAATGAGTCTAAACCAAAATTAATTTTAGCAGAACAAGAAGGGACAACAATTCAACACAATTAAACAGATAACTGCTGATTACAATTATTAGTTTTGGAAACCAATGGTCCTTTTCCACCAAAGGAGACCTCCTCAATTTCCTTTCACATCTTCTTGCTGCCCCTCACCTTGTGTTTCCAGTTAAACAAAACGGTGTGTAAAATCCTTTCTGTCTGCTATTTATGAAGAAAAAAGTTAAGATGAATAAACGACAGCACTTGACATAATAAGAACCTGAGAGTTAATTTCCCGCTTCACCTGCTCAACTTCAAGGATTTCTATAAAAGCCTCTGGAGAAGGGAAAGGTGTTGCACTGAATTCTGCACCATCAAATGAGATGCACAGGCAGTCATTTCAAATGACATCAGCAGTTACTCAGGACTAAGGTTATTCAACTTTATTAGTAAATGTCCTATGAAACATAAAGTAGGTGGCCAAAAATTGGTAGTGAAGTCTCTTGGAAAATTCAGTGATCCCCTGCATGGGTAATCTTCCAGGGTATCAGGTAATGTGTTGATATACTGCAACCACAAACTGTAAATAAATATTTTCTTCTTACCTTCCAGCAAATACTGCGGAACCTGCTGCTTCTCAGCTGCCCATTAATCCCCTTCAGCCTTATAGTTGCCAAGTAATTGCTGTTTACAAATAGTTCTTCCCATTCTTTCCTACATGCAAGAAACCAAAGCATGGGAATCCTTTTGTTAAAATTCTTGTGCTTGGAGAAGAGCGTTACAGGAAATCTTTTTTAAAGAAATCTAAGGAATACAACTTTCAAAACATATACATTTAGTTGTGTACTGTTTCTGAACGCATGGCTGTCTTCTTGGACACAGTTCTTCTGTAGATTTAATGAATATGTAGATTGCTATAATTATGCCAGCTACTGAAATTCATAATGTCTATGGAGGCTATTCCACTTCCTCTAAAATGTTGATAGTGCAGCTCAGTGAATCAACAAGGAAAAAAATGAATATTAAGATAAGCATATAACTGCTTTAGCCACTGACAAAGATATACTTGCTCCAAAAATATACAACAAAAGTATACTGCTGATTATATTGGCGTCTCATATGACATATCTGTTTAAATGAACCCGTTCCTCTTAAATGTCAGGATAGGCAGTTAAGCATAATAGAAGACTATTTTCTTTAACTTTTAGTGCTATTTACTATTGAAATCTCTGCAACTTCTTTCTACATGATCAGTTTTAAAATTTTAACAGGTGCGGGCAAATTCGAAAAAAACATCAAAAAATTAAAAAGCTTCACTATATCAACTGTTAAAGGCAAGCTTGAGTACCTTACAGTACCTATGGCTGACTAGATAAACAACTGAAATATGCCTCCCAGGCACGCAGACACCAGGGGCCTAACACCTGTGCCTCATTAATATACAAGTAAATCTGCTCTACTGGGAAACAATTGGAAATTAATTGTCCCAAACCATTTACTGAGTTTGAATAAAGGAATTAGACCTGTATTTCCTGCATCTTGCACCAAACTAAACATCAAGAATTATTTGTCGACAGTTGAGGTAAGTAATTTCAACTTTATGAAATTTCTCTCAATTTCCAACATGCTACAATAAAATACGTTTATAATTTAACATTTATTATCAAAGCTGAAGCTGTGGAAATCTCTTAAGAAAGCCTCTAAAGCTCTCAATCATCCTTCCCTATACATACAGTTGTCATTGGCCAGATCCTACTCATTCTGTGAAAGGACAACTTATGTAACCAACTGTACACTTAAAGCTCTAAAGCCTGACCATGAAGCAAGCTGTGTCATCTTCATGGAGGTTCAGAAGAGTGAGCAAAGGTAAGGGCACACTCTCTCTACTGTCACCCATAAGAGGATCTCTAACTTCAATTCTGCAGCACTGATCCCTAATCACACCAAGCTTCTGCCAGTGAGGGCATGTGCCTAAGTATGTACAATGAGATACACATTCCAACCCCATTCTGGAAGAAATATATTCCTACTACCAACCCATGAAAATTTCTCAGTCTCATCACTATTCATAACAGAAAACAATATTTCACTTTAATTTTAGTTTGCATTTTTATTATTAATGAAACTGAAATAACTTTATGCTTTTTGTTCATTTTTAATGTCTCTTTTTTCAACTTCTAGTCTTATGCCCATTTTAAGGCATACAGGATAGTGGTTAAGAGAATGGACATCACAGACACATTCCTGGGATAAAATCCTAGCACTGCTACTTACTAACTGTGCAAATGTGGACAAATAACTTCACCTCCCTATAGGTTTCCTCATCTGTAAGGTGCAATAATAATAATAGACAGAATAATAAATTATGAAATTATTCTATCTCAAAGAACTATTCTGAGGATTAAAAAGAGTTAACACATAATTGTAATACATTTTCAGTGTGCCTTCATATTGACCTAAAGAGAGGAATTCTTCATACCTTAAAAACATCAAACCCATGTCTGCTATGCATACATGTATGCACAGGTACACATACACATCCAATTGTCTTGACTTTCAACACACTAAAGATTAATTTGTGTACAGTTTAAATCTAACATCATTGTCCCTTGTTGCTCTTTCTATTGTTTTCATGTTTAAACAGGTCTTAGCCACTCCAAGATCAAATAAATAATCACTGAAATCTTGTTATTTTTACCACTTTAATGCATTTTTATCACCTAGAGTATTTTAACTATATTTTCCACTTCCAATGTCACATGTATTACTCATGTTTCATACTGCTCAAGTTTTGCTTTTGTCCAATTTTCCAGTTTTTATTAATATTCAAAATGAGCAGATATCAGAGAAGTACATCTCAGAAACCACAAGCAAGTTTAAAAGAGTTTATGCTCTATGAACAAAATGTACAGATTTGGAATGTATTTTAAGCCCCAAGAAATCATTACTTGTGAGAGGCCATGCAGTCCTGAGGGTCTGAAAACACCAATACATTTCAGATGGAAGAGGGAAGGATAAGGCAATGACTCCTACAGCCCCTTCCAAAATCAGCTTCTATTCACAGGTACCAAGACACTTTGAAAGTACAAGGACAGCTGGTGACTAGATGCACTGCCATCTTCTCAAGCAGCAGCTTTTTAAGGTCAAGTTACATACTACTTACGTAATGAAAGATAATTATTTGTTAGCTTAAGTAAGACCTTGTGTCTTGATTACAATGTTGGCACAGAAAAAGGAGACTGAGGCATGTAAAATGGAAACATTCTCTCTGAAAATCACAATCATTTAAATTTATTCATGGGTACTTATAGTTCCAGTTAAGGTATAACATCTCAAACTGATGAAGAGTTCTAACATAAAGGCCAGAATATAATCTACTAATTGTCTTTCTTTTCTGTGCAACAGTATTTTATCAATAAGCAGTGATACATAATAAACATAATGAACATTTATTAAGGGGCTATTATGTGCTTAGCAAGTTCCAGAGTCTCTTCTGACAACCATTTCTGTCTTTTCTTCCTTTCCTCTCTTTTGAATGACCTTTTTCATTCTTCATGTATGATGTTCTTGATATCTTCCCATAACTCATCTGGCTTTCAGTTATTAGCGTTCAATGCTTCAAATCTATTCTTGAGATGGTCTCTAAATTTAGGTGGGACATAATCAAGGTCATATTGTGGGTTTTACACACTTTTAATTTTCTTCAGCTTCAACCATTACCTGCATATGAGCAACTGATGGTATGTTCCACAGCCAGCTCCTAGCCTTGTTTTGGCTGAAGATATTGAGCTTCTCCACTGACTCTTTCCACAGATGTAGTTGATCTGATTCTGTGTATTCCTCCTGGTGAGGAACATGTGCATAGCTATCGCTGATGTTGTTGAAAAAGGTATTTGCAATGAATAAGTAGTTGGTCTTGCAAAATTCCATCATGTGATTTCTGGCATCATTTCTACCTCCAAGGCCAAATTTTCCAACTACCGGTAATTCTTCTTTGTTTCCAACTTTTGCATTCCAATCACCAGTAACAATCAATACATCTTGATTGTATTTTCAGTCAATTTCATACCACAGAAGTTGGTAAAAATTTTCAATTTCTTCATCTTTGGTTTGAACAAAGAGCAGCTAAAGTGAATGAAGAAATCACAAGATAAAACAGCTGAACAGAAGACTTCAAAGAGCAGCTTGAGAAGACAAAGTCAATTATTATAATGAAATGTGAAAAGACCTAGTGTTAGAAAACCAAAAGGAAATAACACACTTGGTATTTCTCAAACTGAAAGAACTAAAGAAAAAAATCAAGCCTCGAGGTGTAATATTGAAGGATTCTATGGGCAAAATGTTGAATGATGCAGGAGGCATCAAAAGAAGAAGCAAGGAATATACAGATTCACTGCAGAAAAAAAGAACTGGTCAATGTCCAACTATTTCAGGAGCTGGCATATGATCAAGAACTGATGGTACTGAAGGAAGAAGCCAAAGCTGCATTGAAGGAACTGGCCCCACGAATTGACAGAATACTCACTGAGATATTTCAACAAACAGATGAAGTGCTGGAGGCACTTACTCATCTATGCCAAGTAATTTGGAAGACAGCTACCTGACAAACTGACTGGAAGAAATCCTATTTGCACCCATTCCAAAGAAAGGTGATCCCACAGAATGTGGGAATTATCAAACAGTATCATTTAACATCATACACTAGTAAAATTTTGCTGAAGATAATTCAAAAACGGTTGCAGCAGTATACTGACAGGGAACTGCCAGACATGCAAGCTGGATTCAGAAGAAGGCATGGAACAAGGGACATCATTGCTGACGTCAGATGGATCTTGGCTGAAAGCAAAGAATATCAGAAAGATGTTTATTTGTGTTTTATTGACTGTAGAAAGGCATTAGACTTTGTGGATCATAATAAATTATGGATAACATTAGGAAGAATGCGAATTCCAGAACTCATGAAGAACCTATACATAGACTAAGAAGCTGTCATTTGAACAGAACAAGGGAATGCTGCATGGTTTAAAATCAGGAAGGGTGTGCATTAGGGTTGTATCCTTTCATCATACTTATTCAATAGTATGCTGAGCAAATAATCCAAGAAGCTGGATGATATGAAGAAGAACGTGGCATCAGGATTGGAGGAAGACTCATTAATAACCTGAAAAATGCAGATGACACTCAACCTTCCTTGTGAAGGTGAAGATGACTTGAAGCACTTCCTGATGAAGATTAAAGACTACAGTCTTCAGTATGGATTACACCTCAGCATAAAGAAAACAAAAATCCTCACAACTGGACCAATAAGCAGCATCACGATAAATGGAGAAAAGATTGACGCTGTAAAGACTTCATCTTGCTTAGATCCACAATCAACACTCATGGAAGCAACAATCAAGAAATCAGATGTCATACTGCACTAGGCAAATCTGCTGCAAAAGACCTCTGTGAAGACTCAGGTGCACCTAACCCAGGCAATAGTATTTTCAATCACCTCATACTCATGTTAAAGCTGGACAATGAACAAGGAAGACTGAAGAAGAGTTAATGCCTTTGAATTATGGTATTGGCAAAGAATACTGAAAATACCATGGGCTGCCAGAAGAATGAACAAATCTGTCCTGGAAGAAGCGCAGCTGGAGTGGTCCTTGGAAGTGAGAATGGCCAGACTTCATCTCACCTATTTTGGTCACGCTGTCAGAAAGGACCAGTCA